CGTAGTAAACTCGATCTGTTTATGGTTTTGACTTCTAGTGTGTGTGAATAACAAATAATTTTAGCTAAAATTAAAGTAGAAAAAACTTTGACCTGACTGTGTAGCTCACGCGAGTCATACAAATTTAAATAAAACACATTTACGGTTTAAAACGCAACATATTCGTTGAACTCATTACAATTTATTTTAACAAAAGGCCGATGTTTAACTAATTTGTTTAATTTCTTAAACCTTTACACAATTTATTTTTAATTAAGTACTTTTATTCAGCTACCCGCAATTCACTGCGTCTGTAATCCTGCTCGACCATTAAACGTAATGCCTAGCAGTCCTGCGTTCAGCCCGGGCAACAACATTGGTTCTGAATCAGGCAGGGCCAGGAAAACTCAACTACTTGCCCGTTAAAAAAACGGATAAGTGAAACGGACACAGAAATGTGTTCGTCACCCACGTGGGTAAACGGGTTTTCACATACGCACTTTTATTCAGGTAGAAAGCCTGAATAAACAAAATCGAACTGTGAAACAAATACGGTCCCCTCTGTCAACTATGCTCACATAGGAGAATGCTTCCTAGTCTATCCTCCTCTATTTTGAAAATAGAACATATAATATGTAAAACCGCCAAAAACACGATTTTAATCATATTTTAGTTTTTGTTAAGACGTTGCTAAGATTGAGACAAAAATACTATTAAAACATCCTACGTGGAACCTTTTCAGCTGTAGGTAATATATGAGAAATCCTTGTTTCAAGGTTTTACTAAATGTATTCTAAAACCTTTAAAGTAAGTATGCTTACGTAATTTCTTAGTCCGCTGGAGTAGCGACCTAAAGTGAGTCTTGCTATTCGAGTCTAAAGACCACCTTTTTCAAAAACCTTATTTTTTTTAACTTGGCTCTCATTTTATTTAGATTGCTTTCAACCTGTAAAATAACAGAATGTCTTAATTAAAATAAATTTAATTTGTTTTCAAAATATTGTTCCACGATTTATTTTCCGACCCGCAATGTTCTTGCAGAAAACGATATTACGGGCTCTTTTAATTATTTTAACGGATGCTTGAACAATAAATGAAGCTATAATTTCCAAAATTATTTCATCTCTAGTCTGTTGTTTACTGTCTGAAAGTCTGATACAAATTATTATTTTTGTGTACATTATGTACATTAAGCACTAATTATATTATTTATTTCGATTATATCAGTGATATAAAAAGTAGCCTATCTCCTTATAGATATACTAGCTGTGTCAGCTTCATCCGCGTAGAATAGTTATTTTGGGTATCCATTTGTGTCTTTCATCATTTTTTGTTTCCTACGAATTTGGTCGCGTCCCATCGTTCTTGCGAGTTAATCATAAAAGAGACATATAGTGTCGGACATTCTCTTAGATAATTTAAAGAGAAATAATTCTTTTAAACCTATTTTGGGTATCTTGAACCGTTTTCGCAGTGTACGCAACGGAAACCATCAAAGGTGAATAATTTTCCCCGTTTTTTCCACATTTCCCACCGTTACTTCGCTCCCATTAGTCACAGCGCGATGTTTTATTTAAGCTTATAGCCTTCCTCGATAAACGTTGTTACGAACACAAAACGATTAATTAATTCGAACCAATAGTTTCTGCGATTTGCTCGTGCAAACAAACAAACTCTTCTGCTTTATATATTAGTGTAGATTTATATGCCTGTATATTTACTCTCGTAGGTATATGAAGATCCTTTGGAAACAACGCCAAGTTTAATAACATATAATGGCTGATAAAAAGTGTGTGAAATCCCCTTTCCCCTTATAGGGCATAGGGTGAACACATACCTGTGTCCGTTTCACTGGTCGGTTTTATTTACAGGCAAGTAGTTGATCAGATCAGATTTACTGTTTCTCCGGTATTCGAACTCAGGACCTCTAGCACTTATCGCAATGCTAGGCAACACGTTTAACCATTTAGCTACAGAGGCGGTCAAGTAAATGGCTGATAGTTTGCTTTTATATAACTGTATACACGAGGTATTTTCGAATTATAAATTAGAACGAAATTAATTTACGCAAACACTATGCACCGTTCACATGTTTAACTTTGGGACGGGAAAATTGTGTGCATTCAGAGTGAAATTGAAAAGTTCCGATGTCAAGCCACATCGGGGTATTCTGAAACAAATGGTTTTTAACATAAGGGGTAGTAGTAGAAGGGGTAAGGGGAAAAAGGTGTTTATTTTAATAAATTGAAGACTATTTTTTTATGATAGACGAGAACAGATAAGCATGCGTGATAAGCATCAGCCATATAACATATTGCCACCATAACAACAACAAGAAGATCAAAAAACTATTCACTGTTTACTAATATGGTTTGCTGTTTACATTTAAATAGAAATAAGGGATTTTTCTTCGATTTATGATCTCATACTTAATTTAAGCTATAGAAACATAATTATTGTTATAATTTTAATACATCGGTATATTGCAATATTATGCAATTCACGTCCATTGTACCATATTAAACGTATATCAGTAAAAAGTTATAAAAGTACGCCACCATCTGGCGCGCAACTTGTAACAATGTGGATTGTTAATGGCACAATTAAGGTAGTTCTCTTTTTATAACCTCTTCTGTGTTTTTACTTTTGTATCAGAACTTTCGCAGCGTCTCTGCGAAGCGAACTTATATCGTAAGCGGTATTATAAATTGAGACTGTGTATTGTGGCTTTCAATTAAAAGCAATATAGATTTATCACTACGTTCGTATACATTCTTCAGGTACGGTTGTGAAATTATAACATATTTTAGGTGTAGTTCATTTAAATATAGCTTATATTTGGAAATAACACATATCGTTAGAAAGCTTTAATATTATTGCCATGAAGGCACTATATAAATTAAGAATCGATTATAAATTTAAAGAAATTACAACAAGTGCAGGATGCTCGAGGGGTGCAAATATCTATAAGTTGAAAATTTGGCGATGATGTGTAGGGCACGGTAGCTCAATAGGTTAGAACAATAGTACGGAACTCTATAGATACCGGTTCAAGTCCTGCACACGTCGTAATTTTTACCATTTAATAGCAATTTTTGAATTTAATACTTCTAATCAATATCTCTACTAAACTCTATAAGAGTCTACAAAGATGTTTGTAGTATTATTTGCTGTTTACGAGATAATTCTTCAGACGAGGTTATTCCATATTAGTTATATAATATTTTGAATACATGTCTCTTAAAGCTAAAATACCATTTACTAATAATAAAGTTTAGAAAAATAATTAAATATTGACTTAACAGAATTACAAATGGCCACTAAAATCAACGTTGTTATTCGAATATAGCCGGCCTTAATTAGAGTGGGTTCCCGAAATTAGTCATTAGCTATTCAATTAACGTTTACAAAATTATAAAACCGAACACGTTCCTTGGTCATATTAATTAAAGTGAATATCTTGTGTCTCTAAGCCTCCGGATTATAATTACTACGTATTGATATAAATCAAGAGACTATGTTATATCTTATAGATTTTATTCATTAATATTTCGTGTGTTGGTGTTTACAGCGTCATAGACTATATATGTTTTAAGAAATTTGGAACAATATTATATTGCTGAATAGTTTGTTTTTTCTCTACTCGCACTAATCTCAGACACTAGTTGAAAAATTATCTTTCTGTTGATTAGACCATTGAGGCTTTAGGCTATAGCGTCACGCTTCCGCAATTAAGCAAAGAAGCAGGTAATGTGGAAAAACAAGGGAAAATTATCCATCTTTGTGGGGTTAAGTCGCGGGCACAGATAATAAAAAAAATATTAATGAACCCACGATCCTTACGTCTCTTGCTATTTCTGAACTAAGCTACCGTTTCTTGCCTTTCGATCTACAAATATTCTACTAAATAAACTAAACTTGTGCCTTTTATGTTTCAAGTGTTAAAATTTACATTTACAATTTTTGTGTGTTCCCGGTTCTATCCGCGTTTTCGTTAATTTAATTTTTTACCCTTCAAACTGACCCAGTTAAATTTTTTGAGAGAATTTTTCAGTGCACCGCAACACATAAATAACGATAGTTGCATTGTTATGCTAATCGCAGTTGAAATTGCTTTTGGATTGGACTACTGTATAGTGTTATCTGACCTACACTGAGCTCTGAAATAAATTTGAAGGAACGCGATGTTATAGACATTTTGGTTGGATTTCCAGGATATAAAAACGAATTGCCACTTTACGTTGCACTTACTTTAATAATGATGAGAAAGTCTAGCAGTTACATAACATTTATAATATTGACCACAATCTACAATAAGTAATATTGACATAATATTCCTTATTGTAGATTGTAGTTCTAAAAAAGCATTTACAATATACAGTTTCAATTACGAGTTAATTTTGCAAATAAAACATTTTAACAGTTTAAAACGCGATATATTATTAGTTAAACCTATTTGAAAATTATTTCAACTACGGCCCGACGTTTTTAAAATAATTTGGCTGCTGGAAAGCATTCGAAACGGGTCGTAGTTAAGTTTAACTAACATTTATCGCGTTTTAAACCATTAGTGTTTTATTTTATGCGTACTACGCTTACTATCTAATTCTTTTGTAAACTTTTTTGTCACGTAAATCGGATATCTATCTGATATAAGGATTGGGAACATTTTATGAACAAGAACAATAGGGGAACGCAATTGTCGTGAATTATAACCCCACCGTTATTAGTATTATCATTATATTTTAATAAAACACTTTTTACGACGACCATTTTTTGCAGCGACCGTGAGGTTATAATAAATTGAAAATAAAATAAAATCATACATTTAAAGAAAACAGTTTAACGGTTTAAATCGCGATATATATTAGGTAAACTTATTTGAAAATTATATTAACTACGGCCCGATGTTTCGGCTGCTGCGTTAGTGTTTTATTTAAATGTGTACGCCTCGCATACACTACAAAGAGCACTTCACTATCATTATATTTTGTTACAGAAAAATGCGTCTGATATTTGCAATGATTCTCGGCTACGCCACAGCTATGAGACCTCACGGCTTTTCCGGAACTCTAGTGGACTTCACGGATCCAAAGGTGAAATTCAATTCGAAAGATACAACTTTTCATATGAGAAAATGGAATGAGAAAAATTCAGCCAAATGCATTCCGTGCCAACATTGTTTGACACATTTTCATCTTTTATTGGATTAAGAAGTTTTTATGTTTTATCTCGAATGCTTAAACTCACCTCGTAAAACTCAATAGCATTTACGATTATGGTTAAATTTTGCGTTTTTTGTGATCCTTTTATGTCATTTTAACCATTCGATTAGATGACAACATGGGATTATATTAAACACTTCTGACGGTATAACAGGTAATAAATAAGATGGATTGACAAACACGCGATTAAATATTAAGGACTGTAACGTAGAGTATATTGGCTATTACCAAACGTTGTTGCTCACAGTAGACGTGGTCACGAGGACACTGAAAATGTTTGATTAATGTAAGGTTGGAGATGTTTAACAATCTTTTTATTAACATCTAAGAAAGCAATTGAAATGAACTAAAAATGCCTACATTTTTGTAAACCCCGTGATCATGTCTGCTGGAAAGCATCAAAATCCGTAGTTAAAATAAAATGTAAAAAACTTTCACGTTTAAAACCGTTAAAAGGGTTTTGAACGTGTACTACTCTACTATATTGATAAATTCTTAATTACAGGTACAAGGTCATCTAGATGCTTTAGTTCGGATGGCCCAGTCCTGCGTGATCAAAGTCAGAGCCTCGCCCAAGGACGTGAGAGCCTATTTCACTAACTCACCCCCGATTACAAGGTCTGGACAATGTTTTGCAGCCTGTATGTTGGAACAGAGTGACGTCATCAATCATGGAAAGGTTTGTTATTTTTGCACGATTTGTGTTACTATGCAACATATTGTATAAGTACTATGATAAGTACAACTCAATACTTGCAAAATTAATATTTTTCACATAATATATTGCACGTGGCAGCGTAACCGCCTCTGTAGCCCAATGGTTAATCGCATTGCCTAGCATTGCGTTAAGCGCGAGAAGGTCCTGGGTTCGAATTCCAGGCACAGAAAAAAATCTTTCGCATAGGGCATAGAAGTCTGATCAACTACTTGCCTGTTAAAGAACGTATCAGTGAAACGAATCAAAAATTGTGTTCGCCCCATACCCCGCGAGGAAGAAACGGGATTTCTCTCTCTCTTATATTGCACGTGATGGCATTATATAAAATATAAGTATAGTTTAGAGTGAAAAAATGTATCACACGAGCGAGACTTGAACCCCGAGCTGCTTTAACCAATCGAGCTACCGTGTCCTATACGTCAATGTAAATTTTTTCAAGCTATTGATACTTGCACCTTTCAATGTTCAAATCCGCCTGTGTCATATTTTTTTTATCTTAATAGATTTTTAAATCTCTATAATTACGAATTTCGAATGCTTGTATCTGTTACTTTTGGACTTTGGACACAGGGAGTCCCCCCGTGACCACGGCTACTGCAAAGCATCCGAAACGTCGGGCCGTAGTTAAAAATAATTCGCAAAAAAGTTTAACTAAAATATATCGCGTTTAGACCGTTAAAGTGTAGCGTAGACTACAGACACTATCGAGATTTACATTTTACAATATAGGTTATATAGACTGATATTATTTCTTTTTGAATTTTTCAAAATCCAGAATATCAATGTTCAAATGGATTGGAGATTGCTACACATTTTAGATAACATAATATTTCTTTTTTTAGTTTTTGACGGGCTCGTAGGTGTTGAATGAATGGCTAATAATCAACGGGTCGGGGCTTCGATTCCCACTGGGTCCAACATTTAATTAACCAAATTATAATTTTTCTAAAAAGTGTTAAACTTCGACTCGAAGCTGGATATTAAATGAGTGGTTGGATTATCGGAATTAGGTCCGTGTCATAAAAAAAAAAAAAAAGAAAAAATTTTATGCAAAATTTTCCGGTATCCATATCAGTTATTGGCAAAGAATTCGTACGAATCCAATAGAGATTGTAATACTGGCAGTCAAAGCGTTATCCGCAGAAAGTTATTGTTGAAACGGAATAACCGCTGTGAACTTTGAAATTCCGCTTTTAAAATACCTCAACCGTATTCCTGCAAGTGTATATTCGCGTTGTGGCTCTGAAAAAAACTAACAGTGAAATGTGTAGTTGCCTAGTGAAATGGGATTTAGGAGTTTGTCATAAAATGATATAGAAAATAACGTAGCTTATATTACTAGTTTATAGGTAATGTATGTAGTATGTGAATGATAACTTGTAAACATTTAGGAATGTTAGTATTAAATAATTAATTAATATAACGATTTAAAAATAAATTGACTCGGCAGCTTGAACCGGCATCGTCAGCGTTCCGTGTTGTTGCTCTACTAATTGAGATTTTTTACCAATTTTAATATAATAAATATAGGTAGTATGTAGTCTTATTTATTATTATTAATAGTGAGTATAGTCCAGTACTGTAGTTGGGGCTTGTAGTACATATTTAATTGAAACGCGAAATGATAGTAGATAGTAGTGTTTTATTTAAAAGTCTGATATTATGTAAATATAACAAACATACTACATTGCTCAATGGTTACATGTATTGCCTGGTATAGTGTTAAGCGCGAGTGATAACTAGCAACTAACATATATAAGTTAAATTTTTTTTTAAACTTAAAAAAAATTACCTTAGTAGCGGAGGCCGAGATGCTAAATTTGCAGATAGTCGAGCGTCATGGAAACTTCGTGGATTCAGTAACATGATGCAGAAATATTTATCTATTTAATTTTCTGAGACGGGATTCCGGAGAGACGCTTGGGCTTCCCTTCTCCTTGCCCTTAAAACATACTCCTCATACACACAATTTTTCTTTTTTAGGTGAATCGTGAACTATTAATCCACCTTGCCAGTCTGGTCAACGGCAAGAACTCTCGCGTGGTTCGGAAACTCCACAGCATTTCCAGATTATGCCTGGACAGCGTAGAGGGAATGTCAGATCGCTGTCAACTGGCTTCAACATACAACGACTGCCTTAACGAGAACATGATTGAGTTTGCCTTCCCGCTCGATCTGGCTGAGGAGGCTGTCAGAAAGATGCCATTCCACCTTATACAGCCTAAGTGAGTAAGTCTGTTTGTACCTTTATACAAAACTAGTGTACGGTGAACTTTTTTTAACTTGAGATTTATAGTACACACACACAATCAAATCAATGATGTAACTGAATGAAAATGTGAATAATGAAACTAACTAAAATGCTTTAAATACCAATTTTAAGTTACATTAATAGAAATCCTAATAATCAATTTATATGAGTGGATATTTTTTTTTAATTTGATATTTATACAAGGACAGGGCTGTCGACTTTTTTTTGACTTTGGATATTCGGAAACGCAGCGCGATTAAACTTAACGACCTTTTCCATAGTGGACGGTGGTTGAGACCCGGCGGCATTTCGATATTTATACCGCTCATTTAACGACCAAATGTTCAGACGAAGGCTAACATGTATCAGACACATTATAAATTGTTTAGGAAAATGTTGGACTCAGTGGGGAAGATCACACGACCCTTTGGTTATTAGCCAGGCATTGCTATCTATTCACCTAGGATTAAAGTTAATAGGTCAATAACAAACTTACGTTAAAACCTATCTCTTGTTAATCCTTTTAACTTTCGACAAGAAATATACAGATGAGATAACTCACCTTTAACGATATTAGCCAACAAACATCGGCTGTAAGAAAACTAATTAGCTAAGTAACGTTTCCTTTAATTACTTTTCTGAAATTGGGTTATACTTTACTCTTTCTCTCTAAAATCATGACTCTGCATAATGCAATCACAGTTGGTTTTAATCCCAACTCTATTTAAAATCAAATTAAAACTTCTACGTGTTCTACACTGAGGTTCATTTTATTCTATACGATACGAGATATTTCTGGAAACATTTTAAATTGTATGTATTTTCAAATCTCATTAAAAATTTATTTAAACGCGTTGCTCATTAAGTTGAGATTGAATTTACAGATAAGAAACAAATTCAAATAAACTACTATAATCTTAATGGCTACATTACTATTTAAAAATTTGGACAAATATATTATAAATAGTTATTGCATAAAAGAGCGTGTATAAAACGTGATTCGTGTCTCTCTGCAAGCTGTTGTTTCTAGACATCTCAATAAAAAAAAAACTATTTTATGTAAAGTACCACAAGGTTATACGATATATAAGATAAAAGTATATATATATATCAGACACAAACATGTCTCTAAATTTAATTAATTATTGTTCGATTGTATCTTAGAAATGTAATTTATTTTTATTTACTGTTGGACTAGTAAGTGGTTATCTGTTTAAATAATCACTTACTTGTCCAACAGTTTCATAATAAAAAAAAATTGTTTGGGTAGATTATTGTAATATAGCACTTCCAAGTATGTTATATTTCACTTTTTCTAGCCGAATATAACTTATTTTCTATTTTAGTAAAATTGTTCGTGAGTTAGTTATCAATTAAGGTTGTGAAATATTTTTTTTCATGGATATATATTAATAACGTTGCTAACAGCGTTAATTGTCGATATTTTTCAAATTTTATCATCTGTTATTCAGATTAAGAATTGTTTTTTTTTAAGATTATGTCTTAAAGCAAATGGTATTTGGGTTATACAATTTACAGTTTACATCACAATAACCTTCATGATAATATTCAATAGATCGTAAATTTCAAAAGCGAATATAATAGGCATAGAACAAAAGCTAGTGAAAACAAAATGGCGGCTTGTCAGCGCAAAGGCTAACAAAACAGTGACATAAATATGAGGTATCAGGGAGTCGGCACAAAGGGCAACAAAGAGCCAAGATCCATCTATGTTACACGGTACACCTACGATTCAATAGGGCCGGATTCACACGAACTAGTTAATACAGATAACTACACAGGAAACATTTATAATACAAACAGTCTTAATAAAAGAAGTAGTAAAAGTACACAGTTTTGTATTTACTATGTTTCGATATTTTACTGAAAATTAATCGTAGTCACAATTTCATTGTAGTAACATTTTCGTCGAAAGATATAGCTATGATAGGAAATGATAATCTAAAGAATATTTAAATATCTTTTAGAGAAACGTTTTAATTGTTGTTTATAAATTAAATAATATATATCATAGATAATAAAAAAATATATAGTTTAGCATTTCCGTAGAAATAGCTTATTTCTGTTAGTACAAACTTGCCATAGCCTATTGAAAACACATTTGGTTCAGCCCTGAATCCATGAATAATAACTAGATAGCTTCAAAGACCCGAATCCGTCCCTGTTGACTAAAATAAAACGAAATCTGGGCCAATTTCTGGTGGACCGCTCTATAGGCATACTTTTATTGTAACTTGTGCAAACTTACTCGCAATATCCTTTTCATTCGTATAAAAAGTCGGCCATTGGCGGGCTTACTCAGAGGAAAATGTATTAATGTTCTCTCGGGCCAACATTAGGTTTATTTATTACTGACGTAAAGGGTCTGTGACATTATTCCCTTATCAGAGTGTGTATGATGTATATGATAAGGTAAAGTCCTAAAACTACTGTAGCAGTAGAATTTAATTTGGAAAAGTTAGTCTTATTAAATAATTCACATACACAAAACATTATCATCATTTCAAATTTAAATAAAAAAAAACACATAACACTGGTCTCGAACCCACGTCGTTGCCCTATCAAGCAAGCCCTATGAAACAACCGTGGTGTAACCCAATCTTAATATTACCATATCAAGGTTTAGATTGTAATGATGGTATTCAAAGTAATAAATTTAAAAAAAGTATTTTAGAAATAACACATCAAAAAAACTAAACATAACGCATGTGAGTTAAGTAAATAATACTATAGTAATCTGTTTCGTAAGTTAGGAAAACGCACTTACCTAAAAGTTCATAAAAAAACTTATTCACGCAAACAAAGCCACGGGAAATTAATAATTAGTTATGAACGCAAATCGCAGAAGGGTAACACGAGCAATAAAACTGAAATATTTAATATGGAATATAAAGAGACCCCAAAACTATAACTCCAATAAGTAAATTACTGAAAGAACATTTTATAAGAACCCCATTCACCAACAGGAAATACCATTACCTTACTGTCCTTTGAAATAGCAATTACGTGATCAGTGTTGCCAATTCATAGAGCCTATTTAACCCCGGTCACATCTCGACTCAAATAGGACTTCACGCGAAGTAGTAGTTTTTTAGGGTGACTTTTACGTACGTGGTGGTGAGCTTTCATAAATTATGATATAAAAATTGCGGTGTGCCCCTCGGGAGACGCCGTCCACATGTTCTGTCACTTTCCTCGTGTATTTTGATAACTGATGTTTCTTTCGCTAAGTAATGTTATTTTATCACAGAGGAGGACCGAAACTCGGTTCACTTGATGGAAGGTAAAATGCCACAGCCATAACGTAACACAATGTGCTGTCCATGTACTATTTTTTCCATTGGACAGTAGTAAATACTGCCTGCAGTTTACGCGAGAAGTATACAATTAAGTGAAATACTTTAACAGTTTAAAACGCGTGTCTCCCCGTGACCATGGCTGCTGCAAAGCATCCGAAGCGTCGGGCCGTAGTTAAAATAATTTTTAAATAAACACAAAACTAGTCAACTTATTTAGTCTTTAGATACTTCTCCGATTCTTACCAACCGTTAAATACATGAATGCTTGAATCACAATATTTTATATAAAATTTTAGTTTTAAAATAGGTTATTATCGCTTAAAATATCGAAGCTAAGCTTCTTTTCTCTTCTTATCAACTATTAGTTTAAGTATAAGCTTTCCGTACATATATCTTAAATATTTGTTATTCTAAGTAAAAAAGGAGTTTTGTCTTTAAATATTTACAATTTAACAGCTAATTATAATCTTATTTCATTTCAGCTTACCACAAGAACTAAGACAGTCGTCGTTCTAGTTTTAATAAATAATGTAGCTAATATATTTTTATTTTCATACAAATAAACACAATAAAAACGACTTCGTCTTTGTTATTCTATAAGCTATATGTTCAACGTCAAACCATATTCTAAAAATATAACCAAATATTGTATTAATAAAGTATGGATACTGGCGTCATTTCTATACTCTTTACAATATAAAATTCATATTTCTATCCTCTTATCCCTTTGGACCAATTTTGACGATGCTGGCTGATGAAAAAACAAATGAAACACGAACCTCCCTAAAGGTGGTTGGTTACCTTACTTTTATAGAATATAACTTTCGTAGCTCAGTTGTAGAACGCGTTATGTATCATTGTGAGTGTTGAGAATCCCTGGGCATGAATCCCCGGGGAAAATATAATTACAGTTCCCGACAAGTAAAAGTTACAGAAGGCTTAAAACTTAGGTGGGAGTAATTTTAAAATACCGCATCCATAGCCAAATGGTTAAATGTAATGTCTAGCGTTGCGCGAGACGTCCTGGTTTCGAATCCCAGAGAAACATAAAATTGTTTCGGTCGGATAGGGCACAGAAGCCTGATCAACTACTTGCCCTTTAAAAGAACGTCAGTGAAACGGACACAGAAATGTGTTCGCCCCACGAGGGGGAACCGGCCTATCACTTTTTTTTCACTATATTTTCCAATAAAAAAACGTTACTACTCTGTGTATTTTAAATAAAACACGTTCACCGGTATAAAATGCAAAATATATAACTTGAACATTTATTTGATTTATTTTACTATTTTAATAATCAAAATAAATTAATTGTACGATTAAGTAATATATATATATATTGCGTCATAAACCATTAAACGTGTTTTATTTAAATGTGTATCTACTTGCGTAAACTGCAGAATACTTAATATTAAAGTCTTAGTTGCGGTAAAAAATCTAAATCTTATTTTTAGTAAGCTTTAAATTAATTTCAGAGTCTGTATGCTTTAAATTTAAAATATCTTTGCCTTAGATATACTTCGTCAGGTAGCTACCCAAGTTCCGTAGTATGGAAACACGGTAAGGGTGAATGACATAAACGTGCACATACCTAATTTACATATGAATGTCAAATTTGGTACGAATTCTGTTTCGCAAGAAGCACATTAGCAATGCAAGTCACTCTGATCGCTGGAAGGTCTCGGGCGCTATAATGTAATTTTATCTCAGGAGACGAGCATCATCCGGGCTAATTGGATTTTTTTCCACTGGAAAATACAAGAAATTTCAACAAGATGTACATAAGAGAACGCGATTCAAATTAAGATTTATTGAGTTATATTTTAATCTTATGTTTAGTATATATTATACCAGATCAGTGTTTATTAAAAGTTTTGGTGAATCTTAATTCCATTGGTGAAGATCGTACTTGCCTTCTGTCTGAAACGTCTGAAAACACCCAGTCTTGTAAACCATCTCTGTTTCTTGTTCAACGGCTAGTCAAGGGATTTAAACACTTTAACGGTTTAAAACATGATATATATTAGTTAAACTTATTTGGCTATTATTTTAACTACGATCCGATCGCGACGTTTTGAATTCTTTGCAGCAGCCGTGGTCACGGGTAAACTACAGACAGTATTGAGGATGTTCGTAGGGTCGCAAAAGCCGGCAACATACCGTAGTATGTTTTCCATTTAAACCAATTTGTCATATCTTCTAGGCGATGTTGGTAAGTAGCTTTGGACTTTTCGGTAACAAGTAATCCATATGTATTTTAAGGTATACATGAAAAGAAATATTTTGCGAACATAGTAAAAGGTTAATAAACCAATATTAAATGCTTTTCTTAATATAACCCATCTAAAAGCCTTCAGTAACGAAAATAGCGTGGCTTTTCGTTTCGAATCCTTTGTAAACCACTGAGCTGAATGGTAAAGGTAACTTAGCCTTTTCTAAAGATCGCCCACACAATTCAAACATTATTCCTAATAAAAAAGGTTATTTATACACAATAAGCCACAGGATAATAAGAAAATGAGGAAAATAATGGTAAAATTAAATTATGCAAAAAGTAAAACAAGTCGAAATTTGCAAAACTTCGTAAAAACAGATACCCGGATTTAAGGGATCCTCTTCCTCTGAAATCCTTAACATTTTTTTCAATATAACTTAAGAGAATTTATTTAAATTACGACGACCTTAGTATTCAGTTAAAGACAAACACAAAGTAAATTATAATAATATCCATCAAAGACAATAATGCTTTATATTTATCAACTTAAAATATTATTATTTAATAACTAATTTGTGTGGAATATAATCCTTTGTGTTTTATAATTTAATTTTTGTCTCCATATTTCAGACAATTGCGATGAGTACGAATAATTCACGATCGATCGAAACTAAATGGGAATGATAGAGTAGGAACATAAAGAAAAATATAGGATAAAAAATACCCCACTCATATAAATATAGGATAAAAAATACCCCACTCATATAACATCTAAATAAGCTGCTGTCAACCCATTTATGTTTTGGATATTTGGAAATCTACAGACTGACCTATGGTCGGTGGTTTGTGATGCCGACGAAATTTCCATCTTCCTTCCACTCATTTAATATCCAGATTTTCAGACAAAGTCCAAGTGTTTCAGTAAAAACTATAAATAAAAAATATGTTGGACCCAATGAGGATCGAAGTCATAGCTCGTCGATTATCATCCCTACATTGCTACCATTACTTCAACGATTCTAAGTAAATATTATGTAACAAAATTTAGATATACTGTACACAAGCAATACACAAACCCTAACAAATAAAAAGTAAGCGAATATAAAAGTAATACATGTTAATAAACGAAGAACTAAGGTCTTTCTGAGAATCCTCTGTAAATAAAATTCGGACAGAAATAGAAAATATGAGCAAATGTAACTAATAAAATGTAGTAATGCAACCAGTTATTCTGTTCTACGCAACAAAGCTTTCGACTTATTTGTTCTTGATTCCAATATTGTTCACTGTTTGCGATCGTTTCCTTTCACTTATTTACTCGGAGCGATACTACTGTATTATACAATTTCATGGTCCGATGTCTCGTACTGACTTGTGTCACAAGCCAAAATGTTAATAACGTTACTAATTTTTCACAACAGTTAACAGCATTAACATTGTGATGTCATAGATTTGAATTCCAGACACGAAAAAAATTCTATTTTTGCAAGTCTGCCTTATATTTCACATAAAGGAATATAAAAGTTGAAATAAATTATGCACATATTTAATTAAAATAGATAGCTTTATAACATACATTATAAAATACGCGTTAAACGTTTTTAAATCATCTGTCGTTAATGATTATAATTTAAAATTAATAATTTAGTTTATATCTTTTATCCATCATTGGTTTGTTAAACCCTGCGTAGCTCCCTCTACGTTGCTATGAAAATAGTATAGAAGTGCTACCCAGTTGCTACGAAAGTATATTTATGAGAAGAAATCTGTCTATATTTAGATACTCTAATTTTTTTATACGTTTTGTTGTACAAAATTCTGATGAATCCCATGTTTGAAGCATCTGACCTGATCTCATCCGAAACGTCAGGTTGTAGTTAAAAATAAATACCATATTTCGCGTTTAAACCATTAACAATAGATTATTTAGTGAGAAAATTTTGGTGTGCATCATCGATTTTCATATATTCCTTAGTAGCTGGTAAAACGTTTTTGTAAGTACTAATAATAAAACGAGAATAATGTTTATATCAAAATGTATTATTCATAAAGCATTTTATTAAGGACGAAGTAATACACAATTTTCGATTTACATAATGAATGACATCAAAAGCGGAATGATTTTTTATTTACAAGAAGTTTGTACCTGTTATATTATATATTTCTAGATAAAATCTAAACATTAAATATACATTTAATATTTTCTTAACAAACATATTGCTATTATTACAGTTTCAGGAACGTTTTCAAACTTCACGAAGTATTCAAACAGAACTAGAATTACTATAATACATAACGTGAACATTTTGTCTATAAATTAAGTATACTTTGTGTTCTACTATGAAATTCAATTTGCATCCGTTATCTAAAACCGTGAAGGCAATAGTAAAGTTTGCAAAATGAATGTGTGTCTATTTGTTTTGTAACACAACATAGCCATACTTTATGTTTGATTTTAAATGTTTATAATTAATCGGAATCATGGAAATATCGCTTTCACATGTGTTTACAGTTATTAATTATATAAATTAATATTATATACATTAATTTATGCTATGTAACTTCAATACAAGGTATTGACTTAACTTGAATATTTCCCGATCTATGGATAAATATTTTAGTTCAAAGTCATTGAAATTCTAAGCTTTAACCATTTTAAATGCCATTTTAATACCATAATATAATTCAAAGGAGATTTCATTTAAAAGATATAATTATGGCAAATTATTTCACGCAAACCGCGTAATACAATTAATATATCAGCGAAATGCCCTCTATATGCTGGAAACACCGAGAGACAAACACGTGTAAATGGAAGCTATTTGTATCATTTATTTCCATTTTCAGTGTACGTTCACGTTAGCACGTACATGTAAAAATAAATAAGAGGTCGGACCATTTTAATTTTGGCTTATGTCGCAATAACTTTCAGTTAAAAGCTAAGTAAAACTGTTTCATATTAGGATTACAACTTTTTTAATTGCTTTCATAATTAAAAAGCTTATAATTAACAAATAACTCCCATTACACCCTTTTATAGAAATTAGGTGTAATAAAATAAAAATAAAAAGTTGACAGTTACTGTATCAACTTTCATAGGATATATATAAAATTCAGAGATTTCACTTCATATTATAAATATTAAGTCGTATGTTTACAACCCCAAGATAACTTACATTTGGGATGATCTGGGTATTTGTCCTTGAAAGACGCTACAATGTTTTGATAACGTTGTCGGTTTAGAAATTGCGCCCGCGCATTGTTTGATGAGTTCTTGCTGGCAGCCGCGTGGCAGAGGAACCCGCCGTCAAGTACAACCATTCGGTAATCTTGAAGACAGAGTTCTAGCATCTAAGAAAAGGAAATGTTGAATAAAGTTAGGTTTCTAATTTTTTTTGCAAGGCAAAGTCAAAAATAATTTGGTCACGTAGGTAAGGTACACTTCTGTGCATCACACCAGTTCAAATATTAGAAAACTCTAAATTTTACAATTTAAAACTAAAGACTCTAAATTTAAATTTACTACTAGTTCTCTTATAATAAATGGGGACACATTTTTGGATCGATAATTAAACTATTCAATTATAATATTACTGTTCTTTTATTTTTTTAAAGATAATGTGTATTATATAACAAACAGTTATAAATTTAAAATGAAGTATTCACGAAAGAAACTAAATTGCTTACGTAGGTCGACTTATTTTCGAACACAAAATTCTGAAATGATTACAGGGTCTTTTCTAAACCTCCTGAGAAGTTGATTAAACCAATCATATTGCCACGAGAAGGATTCCGTGATGAATTTAATAAAAAGTTTGAGAGGAAATGAGACGCCTCCACCTTGAAAATTGTTTTTTCATTGTGTTAGATCCCTTTAGATATTTTTATAATTTTTCCATTTGAACACTTCAATCAATAACTTCGACGAAAAACGTACGCGTTAATTAAATTTTTCGCTTCGTACATTGAACATCAACATGGCTAATTATATTGTAGCTCGGTTGTTTAGTTATAAGAGGCAAAAGTTTCGGGTTCACATCCTGTCTGTGTTGAAAGTGTGTGAATCTTTGTCTATTTCAGTATGTAGCAAATGAGAATAATAATTATATTTTTCGCTTCAGTCACTGTTATTTAAAATATTAAATGGTTGTATGTGCGCTGTCTAACAGACCAACCCTACTGGTTTTGCTGAAAATCAGTGTTGTAGCATAACTGTGCTGCAACTTATGATCCTTTAGGCATAACTTTTCTTCAAATTACATTTTAATTCTTTTTGTATTTATTATTTTATTGTAATTACATTTATTTCTTTCTAATATTGTACGAAATGAATGCCAAATAAAGATTTATTATTATTTTGGATACGATATACATTCCTTAGTTGGTATCATAAATCCTTTGCCTTAAAATAAAATAGAGAAATAAAAATCAATGTACCTGCGTCATTTTATCCTGCCTTCCATCCCACGATAGCATCTCGCTGTACCAGGGCTCTTTGTTAGTACCGAAGTACAAGGGCTCCCAGCGGTGATACGGATACTCCCTTCGAGCGATCAACATCGGCTGTAAAAGTGTATTTTCAGTTACGGATAAAATATAAACATGATATTATGTTTATATTAAAAAAAACGAAAAATTAAGGTGTCACTACCGAAACATATTTACCGAAAAGTATTAAGTATTACATAAGTATAAAGTATTTACATAATTCTTATGGAATTAAATTATATTTATTTATACTGAAGTTTACAATATGTAGTTACTTTTTAACCACTATTACATCAAGTTTAGATCCAGTATATTACATCTACATCTTTCTAATTAATTATCTAGTTACGTGTTTAAACAGCAAAATCTTGATGGCGCACTATTTATTTATTTAATTTCTTGGACACTTATATCGTTATATAAATAATATTAATATCTAAACGAGTTTCGAACAAAATTAATTATAAATTGAAAAAAAAATATTGTCATAAGATTTAGCGACGTGATTTTCCCCAAAGCCAGTTTTCAAACATCGTCATCGTTTGCAAAATACACACACGAATAGACCAATCACTACAGGCAATAACTCTATGTAACTTGAAACACAACTTTAACAGTTTAACCTAAATGGCGCTAGTTTTCGACGAGAACTATATATGTAACTTTAAAACAGTCCAAGATAATGTTAGGCTTCATCTCGAAGTCGTTTGTGAAACTATTGTTACGGCTTAAAAGGTTAGGTTTTATGTATTATATGTACATAAACACTTTAATTTAATGACATGTAACATCTAGCTCTTGAGGAGACCCTCAATTGTAAACACCAATAATTATTTCAATGAAATGCTCACACACACACTCACACACAAACACATACACAAATAAACACACACACACAACATAAGGTTCAATAGCAGAAAGAGACCACAAAACTAAGATAATTCTTAAATTTATTACGAACATGACTATAGTCATTAATTCACTCTGCTGTGCAAAAACATATTGTACATGAGTAAACTTATTGTCTTGTATTTCTTGAAATTACTTTTGTGAAGGAGACATCAGTATTATTGCTGTGTAATTATGACGCGAGTTATTTATTTTATTACCTATAGTTAAATATTTAAATATTTTATCCTAATAGTAATCTTGAGGCTACAAAATACTTATCATGATATACCAGCTAAAATAACCTTAATCCGGGTAAAGCAAATGTCGGAATTATTAATAATAATCGGACAATTAGAGGGACGCCACTGTGCGATAAAATTGGATCTGCCTCGAGAAGATTGAACTAGCTGCCACTTGGCAAACTAGGTTGACGGCAAAGAATGATAGATGTTGAGAATTTGTTCTTAACATCACACAAAGGAAAATCGCGAGAAAAATGACCGCTGTGGATTACGGATTTAGCATTGAACAAGATATACGAAGCGAAAGTTAAATTCCAATTCCCAGATAGAGCATGGGGCGAACACATTTCTGTGTCTGTCTCACTAAGCCTTTTTATTTACAGGCATGTACTAGATTTCTTGAACCAAACCGCTGTCTGCCTTTAACCGATACACAACGTTGAAAAGATGTAGCAAAACAGTTGACCCCTGGGTCACGACAGTAATGTGTCTTACAGCTACAATAATGAAACATTTTACCTTCCATCAATTGATCCCCGTGCTTTTCTATCATGAAGAGGAAAGTGTAAAGCAAGATGTAAGCTATGATACAACACGAGTAATTAAAGTTAAAATGAGTTCTAAAGATGCATAATCTTCTTCAGATCAAAGTAAGAATTTCGTATACACCTTTGTCTCTCTAGCTCTTTAGCTGAACTCTCAAACTTCGAAAACTAGGAGACGTAATAAAAGTTTTTTGTAGTAAGCCATTACAAGCATATGAATAGACTTCCGGCTTACTTGGTAAGTGCATTACCATAATACGGGTTTTTTGCCTTTTTACTCTTTCTTTTGGTAAAAAAAGGGCTAATTTATGACGATAGTGTGAGTGGATTCTTTAATTTATAAAATATATGTTATTTGTACGTGTTGAAACGATTTTGAAGGGGTCGTTCGTACAATGAGATTAATATATGGCCAATAACCAATCTCATATTATATTTGGACATTAATGGGTATTAAAACATCAAAAATTTATTGGGACACAAATCCCGACCACATATGAAGAAGCTGAAGTGAAAAACTTATACTTGCACATAGAAAACCACTATAGTGTGATGAAACCGTATTTGCGAACTTTGTCTTTATTTCAGTAACCATTTATTTGCAAATTAAAAAGTTGACGTTTGGTAGAATTTTGGGTTTTATTAAGTTCATATTTTTGTATTATATCATAGTTCATACAGAATTAAAAAGTATAAAAAGATTGTTTGTTTAACACGTGCAAATAATAACTCAAGGATTGTGCCCTTATGAAAATTGAATATTATAGTATTTATTCGCCAGTATCACATTTTATTAATTTAGGTAAATTACTAATCTGCAAATTATTAAACATACCTCAAGTGATGTCCGGGAAGGCCGAAGCAGCCATGTTTGCAGACCAGGGAACCGTTGGCAGTGCGAACACACCTTCTGATGGAAGTACATCGCGCGATTGGATTGAATCATATTTACTAACCTAAGAAAAATATAATAAGTCAAACCTCTTGTTATGTAAACGTTCACAAAGTGTTGCGTAATAATTAAAATATCCTAAAACCCAATATATAATTGTGTTCCATAACCTTAACTGATAATAGTAAAAATCTTTGTTAAAAGTATAGCGCTTGAATGAAAAACATTTACAAACACACTAGTTTTTACTGATTTGAGATCATTACCTTGATATCCACAAAGGGGACCATGAAATATCAACATTCCAACAGAAAATAAAGTTGTGCCCAAAAAACATAGTTAAACATGTAAACAAAAAAATTGAAAAACTCCTTTTTAATATCGGTTAAATAAAAAAAAGTAAACAAGCTAAACCCAAAATTGTGAAAGACTGTAAAACATGATTTAGGGCTTGAACGTTTATCTGCATACGATTATGATAATTTATATAAATAATCAATATAAAACGAAGTAGATAAGGTTAATAAATCCAAATGTTTTAATATTAACTTGAGGCAAGTCAGGATAGCTAAAAGCGTCATGAATACCAAATATACCTTTCGTTATAAACGCGTAATTATCTTTAAAACGTAAATTCATCTCCTAAGAAAACATTTTCATTTTATTAGTTCGTAGTACGCTTTGGATCTCGTTCTCGAAATTACTTTTGAAAGAGAAAACGTGGATTTTCTTTGTCCAAGGTGAAACTCGACGGTCAAACGTTTGGTGAACTCTACCTTTGATTCAAATGGATATAAATCGAGAGATATCATATTGGGGAGATATCGTAAACGACATCGACGTGAACGTAATCTTATAACTTAGAGAAATGGAAGAACTATCAAATTATACGAAAAATACTGTCAAATATTTAATATTTTTTCGTTTTCATTCGTTCGTCGTCGTCTTATACCTTCATTACCTACAACGCCAAAGTAAAAATAATAATTTATTCACGCAAACTAGGTGTTACAAATAGCTTATCATAAATCTGTATTCTACCGATACTATTTTTTTAATTCCAGGTTTATAAGTTTAACGAGCGGCAGGTATAAGGCAGAATTACATAGTAAATCATTAATATTCAAACTTCAAATATCCATGTTATTACTCTCACAGGTAGGTAATTTATAATGAGTTCCTCGTAGTCAATGTATGAAATGCAAACTACGAGATACCTTAAAGGAACGCTACATCAATATGCAATTTTCCCCAGCACACCTCAACCACTATGCATATTTTGCTGCGAGATACCGTAAATTCTTATGCTTTATGTAAAGCTTTAAACTCAGAATGTAACCCTTAAGACTTTGACTTTGAAAGAAGCAGTAAATTTCGATGAAAATGATTTCGTCGGTCAATATATTCTAAAAACATATTTTTAATTGTATAATCTTTACGCGAGTACATATTAAAATAAAACCACTTTTTACGGTTTAAAACAAGTAATAAATTATAGTTACTAGTTACTAATAACTAATTTTCAATTTCGTGTAACGAAACATCGGGCCGTAGTTAAAATAAATGCTACATAAGTTACAATTAAATTCGGCGTTTTAAATCGTTAAAGGTGTTTTGTTTGAAAAAGTTCTATTTAATAGCCTTAGTATTAGATAATAAAATAAGTAATATGAAAAAATATATAGATATTAATTTCATTCGGTTTATACCACATAAACGTTCATATTTAAGGCCTGACTTCTATCCAACTCTACTGGGCCAGCTAAATACCAAAAACCGAACATATTATATTTGGCCCGACGCGGTATTGAAACTTCGTGTACTGCCAACTGTACCAATGGACACGGAAGGCTACAAATTGCAGCTTAAAAGCGTATGGACAACGTATTTTATTGCGTACTGGGTAATGTTTGCGTAATACATCGCTTATATTACCGCCTATCACATAAAGCGACTCTAAGAGACATGTTGTAAAATTTATAATAAAACGAAGTGCGGTGGTAAAACACATTTACGTCATCTATACGCAGTATTCTACGGTTATCTGTGAACTCTCGTCAATTTAGATAAAAATGTACTCAATTTTATCTAAATGCTGGTTAAAATATAAAAATAAACAAACCCGTTTCCTTTTTGCGAAATGTATTCTTAATTTAAATATAAAACAAAATATTTAAGCCCCGGCTTAAAAGTTAATTAAGCTAAACAAATTTATAACTCGTGGTTAAGCCTATGATAACAGAATAAAGGATTTTCCTTCTAAATTGGTGTAAGGCTTAAACTCGTAAAATGTCCGAACGAACATAATACATATTATGTATATTGTAGGCATTTTAATTTAACGCTGGACAAAGTATATTATTAATTTATTTTCCCAAATTTGCATTTCTAAAGATGAGTATAATCTCTACGTTTAACCCTTATGTTGGGCTACATAAACGTAAATAAAATCGTTATGCCATGTGCTTTTCAAATAAAACACTTTTGACGGTTCCAAATGCGAAACATATAATTAATTTAATTACAATTTATTTTAACTCCGGCCTGACGTTCGTGTGCTTTGCAGCATGAACAAATTGGAAATATGTTCACTAAAATATTTCGCGTTTTAAACCGTGACAAGTGTTCTATTTAAATGTCTCGCGGAAACTGCAGACAGTACTGTCCTATTATATTAAATACTTCGATGATTCATTATAAAAATGTGAGGAAATATTGATTTTTAACACGACACTTTTGGTGGTAAAAGATAACTTTCGAACACAAAAAGGGTGGACAAAAGTGCTCTTATCAATCCGTCACAGTCTCGTGCAAAGTGCGTTTAATTTGTGAAACTCAGCGGTGCAAATAAAAAGCGGAGACAACCCATCGCGCTGTAAAAGCATAATTTATCAACTTACGCGTCTTTGTCGTGGGGTATGTCCTCCCCCCTCTCCACCTCGAACAGCGGCACAACAAAGACCGTCTTAGCGAATATACAGCCCTCGTCCCGCTTCTTATCGCCCATAAGTTTCCGCACCATTCTCAGGAATTTCGGCGCTAATCCGAAACTCGGCACCATTTCTATATCAGACACGATAAAATAGTTTGTCTTTGACGCGTTCCTAGCGACATTCCTGCCCACGTTTATGGGATATATCATTTTGTGCTCCCGACGGAAAGTTGGGATATCGGAAACGTTGGGCCCGGAACAATCGGCAAAATGTAAATTGGGCGCCGTTTCCGCCTTCTTATGTACTCTCGCCGTCAATCGTTCGATTTTCTTTCTCCTCACCCACTGTACGTATTCGGCTCTGCGGTTCGATTTCAATATGTTCCTGTAGTTTTCGACTTTGTTCTGCAAAATTTCATTTGCTGATACATTAGGCGTGGCTGCAGTTACTTCCGTCGTAACCGTTACTTCTTCTGGCTTTCTTATTTTAGGTGGATATCGCTTAGGATAGAAGAGGTGCAGCGACACTTTTGTCATAGCAGAATAACACGAACAAAGATGTTTTAGGATTTGAATAGCTGTGTCCATGTCGTAGCTGGGCACGTATACGGCTAGGCTGATGGGACCGTCCCAATATTTGGCGATTTCAACAACGTGATATATAAACTCCGGAGTTGCCTGTGTCGCGTACGTCACCGCGTCATATTTGCTATCATTTGAATATTCTGTACCTCTGATCGCATTGTAAATGACCCTATAGGGTCCAGTGATGCCCGATTCTGGGGACGTAAATATTGGGAACGTCCCCCAATCGATGTAATGGGGTAAGCCATAATTGTATTCGCAGAAGCTTTTGTTATTGTCAGGTTGGCGACCTCTTAAGAAAGCTCCCGGTTTGTACTCGAAATCTCCGATTTGCGGGAAGGAGCGAGGTGGCTCATGATGTTTGAAAGAATAAAGATGGAATATCACAGTTAGAGTAACTACAAAGGTTATGAATAGAACTAATGTTGAGTGTCTTCGTGTAAGTCTATACGAGTAAGCGCTACACACTCGCAAACATTTCGACATTGTTCTATCTCATTGTTTTTTTCTTGTGAATCATTTGATACACATCGTTTAGCTCTGACCTTTGAACTTTCTAATCATAACATAAATCCACATAACCATGTTCTGTATACGGTATTTATTACGTTAGACACAAACAAATAGCACTGCAACAACACAACACACAAACCCAATAACCTACATTTTTGTTTCGTTAATTTGCGTGGTTATTAATGGATAGAGCTTTAAAGAAATAATTTAGTTTTCACTTCTAATTTAATTTGAAGTGATGTTATACGTTTATTGTAAACATTTTCACAATAATTTTATGTTTCTGAGGGCTAGCCTATTTGACAGATGCGCGCGCAGGTGTCTGTGGCTAGAGACTCGGTTCGACCAGAGATTATATCGGCGCATGACGGAAGGAAATGAATAAGAAATCAATATAGAGCTTAATTATTCTCTTTCTGTATACGTTGCTATTATTTATCGTTTATCAAATGTTATTATAAAACCGTTTTTAAATAATAAATATTGTTATGTAATCTCTCTTTATTTCATTCATTCAAAGTATTTGTATCAGAAGTTAATGTGATGGCCAAAAAAATGTCTTAATTTTTTGCAATAATTGATTTTTCACTATACTATAAAGTGTTTCATTTATTATATACACAAAATACAATGTTAAAAGTTAATATGGACGCAAGTCCTTTTGCATGTAGTTAGGGTAATAGTTAAGAAAATATTGTTTATAATAAATACGTTTCGCCTTATCGGCTCTATAGTTAATTTTGGCCTCATTTTCTATTTTGGTAAACTATACTAATTTTATAAAGCTGAAGAGTTTGTTTAAACGCGCTAATCAGAAAAGATTTCGACTGTTCGATTTGAAAAATTCTTGGTTGGTCTAGTCTATTTTATTCTAAGGATTTAAGCTATAAAACATTAGTCAGCGACCAATACGAGCAAAGCAATACTGGGATATAAGCGAAAAATGTTCGTCGGGCGCTGCGAAAACGGTACAAGATACACAAAAAATATGTATAAAAGAACATTTTTTTTTAAATAATCTTTAAATGGCGGCGTAAATATATCTAATGGTGTTTATAGTAGTCAAATTGTGGTCGAAAAACTTTATATGACAAAATAACGTTTCCCAGTATAAATAGCTTGTGTAATAAATATTACTAACATTTTGGCGCTTATAGAAAAGGCGTCAAGAGCCTTGCACGTGTAAAAACTGAATGAAAAACAGTTGAGCGACAGCTTGCACGAACTCAATTTTAACTTCGTTTCTTAGTGACTTGTAAGTTAATGTTTGCATGGATATGCTAACAAACTCAAAAAACAGTATATTTTTGTAATTAAAATTATCTTAAAACTTGAACTATTGCTAACAGTGTTATATTAGTGTCCCCAGAGCCCTATTGATAAGTTGCCTAAAATTAAATCACTCTTATGATAAAAAGATCTAAACGTCTACATACTAATGTTTATGTTTATGTAATGTTTATGATTTATTAAACTTTTAATTGGATCTGGAAAATTTAAACTATTAAATTATGTACTACCATGTGCCAGGAGCTAATAATCATATCCCGGTTTTCTCAACAACTGACGACTTACTTTATAGTTAAGTAGGTAAAATTAGTTGACAAGTTTCGCTTTGTAAATATACGAAGTACTTTAAGACTTGTCTAAATCCTTACTATTAATTTATCATCGTTGTATGCCATTTACGATGTATATATCTATTACTATAGATGTATATGTAATGGTTAAAGTGAGTATCCGTTAATTAATCTTTACATATCACAAAATTATCATGTATATTTTTTTCATTTTGTGTATATTTGTTAAAACAAATTCAATCGACGTGGTTATCCATACAATACTCGCGCGAGTTTCCCGCAACCACAAAGCATCAAGTGTCATTCACGAAAAATTAACGTTTTCACTTTATTGCTTGTTTACTGAAACTGCTGAAGCGAATAATTGAAAACTCTAGCTGGAATATGAAATACAGTAGATTTATCTATATATTAGTATTTAGCTTATTTAATTTAATCTGAATACTCGTAATGTAATTTTAATTTAATTTCAGCATGTTTCAAATAACAATGAATACCAGTTTATATTGGCGATACTTACTATTTAATTAGAATTTCCTCAAATACTTAATTTTTATAGATAAATTATACCAGAATTAACCCATTTATTTAAAGTTCGGTACTTGATGAGTTACCGCTTCCGCAATGTCAGTTAAGTTAGTATCGGAAGCAGATAATTTTAAGTTTAAAGCACGCTACCAACGAGCCCTCAAACAGTTCTCAGTCAGACTTCCACTGAAATACTTCGAAACAATGAAGAAATCCTTGCACGAAAAGTTTAAGAACAAAATTAATTTCGTGAGGCCCCTCTATAGAAGGCAGCTCGAACAAGTTTCCAATAAAATTATTACTTTGGATAATGACAGAGCGTTGAAACTACGTGGCGACGATTTTGACGTAAAAACTGTTTTGTCAGGAGCGAATATCATTAACGTTAAAAGTAAAGTTTGTAAAGAATATAAAGTGACGCTGCCGGGTGCTTGTGTTAGTGGCAATAACGCGATTAAAGATAGACATATAACAAATGTGTTACATGGGGTACATACAACCAAAGAAAGACTTAGTATAGATAACAGTGCAGTTAATAAAAATAGATCTATGGAAGGAAATAATATTGAAGAGTTCGGAACTAAAATCGTCCTACATAAGGTGATGTTACATTTTTATAACAGAAGATAGACAAACGTAGAGAACCCAGCACTAGAGCTTTTGATTCAGGTAGCTTAAGCTAATGTTGCAATTTCCTTTAAAAATTATAAATTAAATACTGTCTTTAGTTTACCGAGTAGTACTCATTTAAATAAAACACTTGAATGGTTTTAAACGTGATATATATTAGTTAAACTTATTTGAAAATTATTTTTAAAGGCGGGGCGTTAGTTAAAAATTATATTTAAAAAAGTTTAACTAATATATATACCGCGTTTTAAACCGTTACAGTGTTTTATTTAAATGAAAAATTAGTTTACAAACATTCTAGACTTTACTAGAACCGAACGCTCAATGCATTTGTTATTGTAAAAACTATATTCTAGTTTCAGACGGTTTTCATTTGTATACAATTCCTTACGTAATTTTCAAGGCACCAGATACTTGGTTGCGGGTGTACCCTGCACCTAAATTAATGGATGAAACCACGAGTTCTCTTGTCGTACGCTGCATGGCATGCCAACTCGGGCTAACTTCGTTTCTAATTCTCTGGACTTTAATTGGAGTATTTGTTATACAATCTTTCGAAGGTAACTTGTTGCTAAACTTCACTTGTTTTATACTTATTTGTTTCTTTGTTATCTCTTATATTGTTCGTTATACATTTTAGGCCCTCACGAAAGTAAAATGTCTACAGATTTTGAAAGGGAACAGAATCAACTAGTCATAGATCTCGCTACTGAATTAAGACAGGTAAAGGATGAAAAACGTTTAATAATATTAAATTTAAATTAAGCAGTGCATAAGCAATAAGTATAGTAAGTATTATATAGTGAAGTATACTAATATATCTATACATTTGCTTAGCAGTTAGTTACTAGTAATTACTAATGTTAATTACAATATCTTACGATATTTAACCACATTTATTGCTGAAATCAAAAAAATAAAACTGTTAGTATGTTTAACAAATAGTGCAAACAATTTTCATGTAAGTTTAACTGCTTTAATATAAACAAAGAATACAAAATATAGATTCCAAAAGTAATAAAACGCTTGTGGCTCTGCAATTTATCGCGATTATTTCGATACGGCCCTTAGGGAGCCAACGTTAGAAAAATATGTTCCAACTAATTTGCATATCTCATAAAACTGAAATCTGAATATTTAAGACAGGAATTTACCACGTACTCCCTCTTTGAATATGAATAAGATTACTATAAAAATAAATTTATTCACTTGTAAGATCTACTCCAATTGGATATTGTATTTAATAGGATTTCACTTTCATATGTATATATATATATATATACATAGGAAAGTGAAATCCCGTTTCCCCTCGTGGGGCATAGGACAAAGAAATTTTTGTGTCCGTTTCACTGATCGGTTTTATTTACAGGCAAGTAGACTTCTGCGCACTGCCCGACCGAGATTTCACTGTTTCCCTGGGATTCGAACCCATCTCCTCTCACGCTTAACGCAATGCCAAGCAACGCGTTTAACCATTTAGCTACGGAGGCGGTTGAATAAATACATATAATACAATCATAATAAATCAAAGTAATATTAAATCTATTCAACCTATTTTAATATTAAACAATGGAATATTATTAATCTATTTATTTTAACTTTGGTTAAATATGTGTAGGTATCTAATCCACCTGTATGTTATGTTAGGCAAATACTAATTAAAATAAAATAATAAATAAGGTGCAAAATTTCACATCAAATACATGTGAAGTGTGTTAGCGCAATCATAGTAAACGAGGTACGTTTCAAAACTTTATTATTTTTTTTTCATTTTATAGCACATGTAAGCACTATATAATTTAAGAATCGAAAATAAATTGAAAAAACTTTCGCGACTCTGTAGCTCAATTGGTAGAGCAACACGGAACGCTGACGGATCAAGTCCTGCCCGAGTCAAAATTTTTTTTCAATTTATTTTCAATTCTTAAAATACACGAGGTACATTTTGATTACATAACAGAAACATTTTCAACTATATAAGATTATTCTGCATACAGCACGGATAAAAATCAATATTCACACAGTATGAAATCTAAAGTTAATTTGTTTGAATGTTTTACAGTAAGTAACTTGCTTTAAGTTAGTGGTATAAACGCATGCTTGGAGTTAAGAACAAACGGATTTAGGTTCTTTTTATTATTATGTCCTAAGCTAACAAACCACTAGAAACTATTCATAGTGGTTTTATCTTATATGTAAAATAATATCTGTAGATAAACTTTCTTAACTCAAACGCAAACAACAAATATAGCATTAATACATTTTCCGACGAAGGAAACCTGCCATATCTTCAGAAACACCGTGTTATAAACGGGAACACATTGAGCACGCATGGATGAATCTTCAGCAGGCAAGTTAACGATTCATTGGATTTAAAGGAAAATATTGTATGCTTCACCTCGTAACGAGTTTAATATTGCCTTATCGATATCGAAGTGATATATTTACCCTGAAATAAACGTTCATCTTCGTTTCGTATAAGGATTTCTAGAGTTTGGAACTTTGTCTTTCGAACTTCTTTGGACGAATACAAACTAGACCGATTGGAACCAAATATAGGATTATTAGATTATTTGCAACGGTGGCTATGGCAACAAGAGATGCACAACTAACCATTATTTCTTTAATGATACTATTTACTTCGAACACGAGTTTACTTTAAAATTGCGTATTATATCCTGATGTACGGTCTGTATTTATGCGATCAGTAAACATTAAAAAAAATACTTTTAAAGGTATTTTTAAACGCCGTGGTTACGGGTCCGAAAACCGTTAAAGTGTTTTATTTAAACGTTAAGCTACAATCATACAATGTCGTCTTTAGTCACCTTTTCAGTGGGGTATTTCTTTAAAATGTAATTAAATTGGTATGTTTGTAGAATAGGTTTTAGAATAGAGTAGAAAAGAATCTGTTCTTAAACGTACTTCTATTGTTTCTATTCTATTCTTAATTAATTTAAATACATGTGCTAAACAATTATTTCCAATTAAGGTGTTGATCATATCGCGTAACATAATGATTCGTAAATAATGATAGTAAACCTACCGATAACTAATCCACAGTACCGTATTAATTACACGTATTGAATATCTAATTAATTGTAACGTTATCAACTGGATAATTATATCATGCTAAACGTGACTTGTGTTTACTATGGCCTTATATAAAGATACCTTTGTATAAAATATAATTGTCAATGTATATTTTGTTCCAAAACACAATGAAATAGACAAACAAAACAAAGACAATAAGTACATATAACACATGAAAATACTTCGATGTAAGTTAATATTTAACCGACAGAGTCGTTTCGTTGTAAGACAAATATAAGCTAAACTTCTTCTTCTTTCGTCTTGACAACTACTTACATATTTGAAAAACAGTAAATAGAGTCTTTCGAATAAAACAATTTTACCAGTTTACAATGCGAAATTTTCGCCAAATACCAATACAATGGCACAGATGGTGCTAGTCTAGCAGTTCTTACTTTGACATTATCGCCCTCTATCATTAGTCCCCGGGTGGCCACGACTGCAGCAAAGCATCCGAAACAGGCCGTATTTAAAATAATGTGCAACGAATACATTTCACGTTTAAACCCGTTAAAAATGTTTTTTTAGAATGTGAACTACTCGCAAAATCATACAAACAGTATTTAAATAGAGCCATGTAAAGTTCAAAGAACTCTCGTTAACAATATGGGGAACACGTGTAAGACCAGATATCGAATATCGAAAGATGTTCGATAAAAAGTTAGGTCTCGCAAGAAATTTAATTTAGCGCTTTCGAAACGAAAGGGTTCTTCAGCAGCTCTCATCTGAAAGCAATTTTACTTCGAGACGAAATCAAACTCGTCCCGCATGGCACTTCAGAATAAATAGAATTCGCGTTTAATCTCCATATTTTTCGGAGCTCCATCCTAACGACGTCATAGATTTTCATCATAGGGAAAGCGTGGATAAAAATCTATTGTCACTCCTTTAGATCACATTGTACAGGGACAATGTGATGTGAAATAACCAGATAAATGAAATAATGAAGATAAAAATATATATATTGTGTTTGGATTTTCATATCTCTCAATAGTATACATATAACCTCTGTGGCTAAAAGGTTAAACGCGTTGCCTAGCATTGCGTTAAGCGCAAGGAGTCATGGCTTCAAATCACGGGGCAACAAAAAAATCTGATCAACAACTTACCTGTAAATAAAAGCGATCAGTGAAACAGGATTTCATTTCACCAAGAGGAAATAAATTAAGGTTAGTTTCCAAATAAATATCGATGACATCGAAGAGGCTTTTAGAATATTTGATCATAGGTCAGGTGGTTCTTCTCTGTCGATTTATTTAGTTGGTTTTACCAACATGTATTTACGCACAGTTGTTGTGAAATTTCTCAAAAACTACGCTTGTTTGGATTACTACGATTCTTTATTGTAAACTTTCTAACAATAAAAAAAAATTTCCCCCCTTTTGAGAAAAAATATATTTTAACATTTACATTATCACAGTTGAGACATCTTGCTCTCAGTAATTGTTAATCAGGTGTAACAACTACTGAAGTCTAAAAGCAGGAGCCATTTCCCCCGTAACATATAGTTTAGGAGTGAAATAAATGTCAGCACACGTCCGCAACAGTGTTTTCCTTTCATCGTGCAAGCTTTTGTGAACGTGGGATACCTATTGGCGGCCCAACTAGAGTGACCAAACGATTTGAATAATGTAGCTAATGAAACATCATAGATCAAGACAGAATTTTGATAAATCGCACATGTATTTGCAGTTTTTAAAGTTCAAACTAAACCATGATAGAAATATTTTAGAGTCATAATTTATGAGTAAAATCTTTTATATATAAATGTATACAGATCCTGTAAATATTTCTCTTGATACATCATCAAAAATACGCAGTACGTACTTCTCTACCTATCTCAGGAAATAATACATAAACTAACAACATCCCAACATGCCATGGAAATAAGCATGCTCAGCATCTAAAGATCAGACAGACAAAAGAATAAAGTAAGACGAAAGTAATTGACCTAGTAACTAAAATTAAATGACTGGGCTGGGCATAATCAGAGGAAGAGAGAAATGGAGTAAGAAAGTAACAAAATGGTATCCAGGGGAAGGGAAAAGATGGGAAAAATAGACAGACCTCGGAAAAGATGATGGAAGGAAAGATGACATAAAGGAAGTGGACGTAGTCACGTGGAAAAGAGTATCCCAAGAAAGAAAGGGGTGGAAAAGGTTAAAGGACGCCTTTGTCAAACGGCACACGGATATAGGCTTATTATAAAATAGAACATATGGTTCTACTAGTCGAAAATAATAAATGTAATTATAAGTAAGAAACATTCAATATTAAAAGTTTTTAAAGTAAGTCGTAATAAAGGCTTTCATTTCATTCATTCTTTCATATCCGTACATATTTTTCTTTATGTGTTACTTAAACAAATTTACTATAAAAAGCATACTGTCGTTTTGACAACCTTAACACGTAAAATCTCTAATACTTGTAGAGAGACCGAATTGAATAATACGGAACGGAAATGTGCACAGTCGGCTGAATATTCATGGTTTTTCATGTTTTCCTTCTTGTAAGGAAAAGACACATCAAAGCAAACATATAAATGTAAATTCGCTACCTTTTTGTGAAAACGTAATCGTATATATGAGCAGATATTATCTCCTCTCTTTAAACATTCTATATGTAAATTT